AAACGCCCACATGATCATACATTAGGAAACTCAAAGTGCTTAACAAAACATGATACAGTAGAAACAATAACATGAGTTATCACAATAAATGTTCACAATATATTAAAAAGAGTCAAAGTACAAACCTTCAGCTAAATAAATCTGTTTTAAACCTTGATTTAAACATTGTCTCATATTTTCAGGAAGACTGTTCCAGATTTTAGGCATCAACACCAGGAGATGGTCCCTAGTTGTTGCTGCTGAGAGGTTTCACTATAGCGTTGAAAGATAAATCAGATTTTAGCTGCAAAAATCTGAAACTCTGCCTCTCCCTGTTTAGCCCTAACTCTGGGTCAGGGCTAAACAGGGTCCCTGTGCTCCTCAGAGTCCCAGCAGGAGGCCAGTCCCTGTGCTCCTCAGAGTCCCAGCAGGAGGCCAGTCCCTGTGCTCCTCAGAGTCCCAGCAGGAGGACAGTCCCTGTGCTGCTCAGAGTCCCAGCAGGAGGCCAGTCCCTGTGCTCCTCAGAGTCCCAGCAGGAGGCCAGTCCCTGTGCTCCTCAGAGTCCCAGCAGGAGGCCAGTCCCTGTGCTCCTCAGAGTCCCAGCAGGAGGCCAGTCCCTGTGCTCCTCAGAGTCCGAGTTGGTTCACATGACACTAACACGTTAAGGAGGAGCTTCTCGACTCCTACCTTCTATAACATTGTTTTATCTCCATCAAACATTTCCTTTGAACCATCCGTTTCAGAAAGAGCCATGATGGTCATAGATAATCAAATTAGAACAGAATCCAGTTACTTCCCTTTAAAACACATGTATCTCACATGAAATCAGCGCTGTCTGTATATTATTGCATTTCACACCTGTATCCATTTTGGACTACAGCTGTATCTCCTTTATATGATTTCAGTTTTGGTTAGCATTTCTCGTTCTGTCTCTTCTTCACAGCGTTTCGCCTCAGGCCCATCTCTCAGTCGCGGATCCATGTCCTCTATAGCGTGGCGCAGATTCCTAAATGCCTTCGCTGTGCAGCCATACAGTAAGTAAATAAAGCAGTGTTTTTCCACAAAGCCTGGGGGATTCTCACTCGCTCTCAGACAACGGAGAAAGCACAAAACCCGCTCTTCTTCCTCACGTCTTGGATCTACTAGCAATAAAACTTGTCATTCTCTGTTAAAAATGAAGCTTTACGACCATTCGCAGCTGTCCACGAGCTCCGTCCAACAATACATCTCATTCCTAATATTATTTTTATCACCGTTGTTGCGCGATATGGTGTCGTTTCTCCGCCTATATTTTCTTCTTTAAAGCAATAGCAATAAACGGAAAGGAAGTTATGGGAGCGACCCGGTGCCGTGGCGAGTAATGGGTCTCGTGTTGCCTTCGCTCGACTGAAACGCTCGCTCAATATAAAAGTATGTTACAGCGATTCTGCAGACGGCACTAATTTAGGAATTTTCGTTGTGTGTTTTTCAGAAAGTGAGAGGTGCAGGACATAAAGGAGAATGCACTGCTGCTGTTTGGAACTTTAACAAGGGGGAGTTGGGGGACGGTAAAGAGTTTTAAACAGATATTTATGTTTTAGAAAAGACTTAACAGTTTACCCAATACTTCACTAAGACATACCATGTGTCAGAGGGATACGATAGTCCTTTCATAGTCCCACAGTGGGGAAAGATCAATGTCATCGTTGTACATTACAGCAGAATTAAAGGAGGAAATATGTCACTCAGATTATGCACACATTAAACAGGATCTAGTATTTAAGATAATATATTATACAATTAAAAAAAGTACTGAATGTAATAAGATTGGTAAGGGATAATGTAAAGAACGCAGGTCATTACATTGGTTGGTTTCATTCTTATCTTTTAGACAGAACCTTTGCGGTCACCATGGGTGATTTTACCTCCTCAACAGCCCCCATTACCTGTGGTGTGCCGCAAGGTTCTATTTTAGGTCCCATTTTATTTTCTCTTTATATGCTCCCCCTAGGACACGTTATGTCCCGTCATAACGTGTCCTTCCACTGCTCTGCGGACGACACACAGATCTACCTCCCGCTGAGACCAAACGACCCTGGAAGTCTGGCTGCTGTGGTCGACTGTTTTGACGATGTGAACCGTTGGATGGCCCATAACTTCCTTCAACTCAACACCTCCAAATCTGAAGTCCTCCTCATCAACCCGCCTCCATCTATATCCCACATCCAAACCCACCTCGGCCCCCGATCCTCAAACATCACTCCCTCCGCCCGTAACCTTGGTGTCATTTTTGATTCTCACCTCACTTTCCGCTCCCACATCAATAAAACCACCCAATCCTGCTTCTATCACCTCCGCACAATCTCAAAGATTAAAAACATTCTCACTCCTCCCGATCTCCATAAAGTTGTCAACGCCCTCATCTTCTCCCGCCTCGACTACTGCAACTCCCTCCTCTCCAATCTCGACGCTAAATCCCTCTCCCGCCTCCAACTGGTTCAGACGCAGCAGACTTCTCACTGGTTTTAACAGAAGGGAGCACATCACCCCTGACTTAGCGTCCCTCCACTGGCTCCCTGTGCGTTTTAGAATTGATTTTAAGATTTTACTGATTACTTTTAAAGCTCGTTTAGGTCTGGCACCAAGCTATATTTCTGAACTTTTAACCCCCTATGAGCCTTACCCCCGCAGCCTTAGATCCTCGGGCAGGTCCCTGTTGACTGTTCCAAGGTCGAGGCTCCGGACGAAAGGTGACCGAGCCTTCTCTGTCCGGGCTCCTCAGCTTTGGAACGACCTGCCCGAGGAGATAAGGCTCCATCAGTATCCTCTTTTAAATCTCTTCTTTTATCAAACAGCTTTTAACTGTTAGTTTTAAACTTCACATGCTGTACTTTACTGTCTGCTTTGTCTTTGTTGAGTCTCTTTTGTGTTTTGCTCTGTTTGCTTTGTGTTTTTGTATCTAATTATTTTGACCTTGTATTATGACTGTTTTTATTGTTTATCATGCTGACTGTGCAGCGCTTTGTAAACATTGTTTTTAAAAGTGCTATACAAATAAAGATTATTATTATTATATTATATTATATATTACCAGACAAACCGGACCCGACGTGAAGGGGTCTGATTCTGCCCTGAAGGTACTTATGTTTACATTTGTTTAAATTTGTTAATGGTTTCTTCAAGGACCACATTTTGTCGCATTAAAACCGTTTTTGTCATCAAATTGTTGGCAGATAATTTTGAAAACCTCGGTGCACGTGTATGAAGAATCTATATGTATAATGTTTTCTCCCATTAATATTTAAATGATTGATTGATTGTTACTGTGTTGATTCAGCAGAGCTACACCAAGGATCTCTGTCTGGCCACACGAGGCAAGACAAGGCTAATTTATTTATAAAGCACCATTCATACAGAAGCAACACAGTGTGCTTAACAGATTACCAGCCTGGCCAGGTGAGTAACAGCCAGTGGGGGAGGGTCCCGGCTCAAAAGTGGCCAAAATGACGTGCGCTGACATGCTGCAATACCACCCCGGGCCGATGGGGGTGGACCCAGGAGAAGAATTAGCCAATGCTAACATATAGCATTGGTTAACCTCTCAAAAACGTCTTTACAGGATGGACCAAAAGTTAGCTCTTGGCCCAAAGCTCCGTTCCACATGTGTGTCAATGCTGAGGGGGGTGTTTTGGTCCACTCTAGTTTACTTGCTGTGAATTTTTGAAGTCTCTCGTTTAAATGAATGGAGCTTGCGCCGGCTGACGCATGCGCAGATGCGTTTTTTCACAATTTTCTTGTGGGCGGGACCACTCGCGGCCATTTTGGATTGCTCCACAAAAGCACTTTTCATGGCCAACTCCTATGAACGGCGGAGATAGCCGTGACTCTGTCCGTTAATATATACAGTCTATGGTAACAGCTAGGCTAGCTACTTATTTAAGCCTGTGGACGAAGTGGCAGAATTCTATAACACCTGATTTACCAGCACTAATTGCTTTGCCAATGGCAGCGGACATTATCGGTTTGAGAGTCCGTTATCAAGAAATAATGATCGGTAGAACGTTTTGAAATGACTTTCAAATCAATGGATCATTCTACTGCTGCTGTGAGGAGCCGTGTAGTAAAATAAAGTAAAGTAAAACTCTATAATTGCACTTGGTTCAGGATAAGTGACTATTGGAGTATAAAAAACTGTAGTCAGCAGGTATTTACATATGTCTTACAAATGTTGTACTTTAGAAGCAGAGACAACAATAGTAATAACAGCACAGCAGGTGAAGAGACTAGACAGACAGACAGACAGACAGACAGACAGACAGACAGACAGACAGACAGACAGACAGACAGACAGACAGACAGACAGACAGACAGACAGACAGACAGACAGACAGACAGACAGACAGACAGACAGACAGACAGACAGACAGATAGATAGATGGATAAAGTTATGTCCCTTTGAAAGACCAGGCCACATGCCTCAGCCGGTCTGCTCTCCGTCTGCGTCTGTGCCCTTGACTTCATAACCATCTCATTAGTTTTGTCTTTCTGTGTGCTCCTCGTAATGATGTCCCCCCTGAACATAAAACACACCCACGCTGGTTCCCTCCGAACATCTGCCCCGTCTCTGCTCCTTGTCAGCTCCTCTCTCCTCTCCGGCCCGGGACGCTATAACGAACGGAGCATAAAAAAACATGGCCGCCTGCCCGATCACCCGACCCAAACATCAAAGCCTTGAGGCGGACGGGGAACCTGGCCATATCCCCCACAGAGCGGAGCCGGCAGCAGTTCAAAGACGGGAGAAGCCCAGAATCAAACCAAATGTGCATAAAGCAGAGATGGACATTTGCACTATAAAAACACAGCCTGATGAATATTAAAGGGAATAATTAGGGACGAAAATAAGAAACTGAAACAGAGGCAAATGTGAGTGGTCTTCAGGGGTTTGGGTTTGTATAAAAGACAACATCAAGACCTTTCTGGAGGACGGAGGTTCAGCCACACGAGATTGTCCTAAAAAAGTATAATCATTAGAGAAATATGTTTTAATTCAAATATTTTGGAGGAAACAGTAGCGCCTGGAGGACACCGGAGCGCCTGGAGGAAACTGGAGCGCCTGGAGGAAACCGGAGCACCTGGAGAAAACCGGAGCGCCTGGAGGACACCTGAGTGCCTGGAGGACACCTGAGTGCCTGGAGTAAACTGGACGCCTGGAGGACACCGGAGCGCCTGGAGGACACCTGAGCGCCTGGAGGACACCGGAGCGCCTGGAGGACACCTGAGTGCCTGGAGGACACCTGAGTGCCTGGAGTAAACTGGACGCCTGGAGGACACCGGAGCGCCTGGAGGACACCTGAGCGCCTGGAGGACACCGGAGCGCCTGGAGGACACCTGAGTGCCTGGAGGACACCGGAGCGCCTGGAGGAAGCCGGAGCGCCTGGAGGACACCGGAGCGCCTGGAGGACACCGGAGCGCCTGGAGGAAACTGGAGCGCCTGAAGGAAACCGGAGCACCTGGAGGAAACCGGAGCGCCTGGAGGAAACTCGAGTGCCTGGAGGAAATCGTAGCGCCTGGAGGAAACTGGACGCCTGGAGGAAACCCGTGCGCCTGGAGGAAACTGGACCGTGTGGTGGAAACCGGAGTGCCTGGAGGAAACTGTAGCGCCTGGAGTAAACCTATGCAGACACGGGGAGAACATGCAAACTCCACACAGAAAAGCCTGGAGTTGGAATCGAACCCATTTACCGTGAGAGCAGAGATACAAAAATGATATTGATTCTTAGAGTGTTGTCGACAGCAGTTCTGTTCTGGTTAATTACAAGATCAATCTTCTTTAAGGTACATTTGCTCGGGGGAAATATAGAAATGGATCTCAGTGTCAGTTCGTCTGGCGCTTTGTCTGGAGGTCTAGCACTTGGCTCTGAACTGGCTGTATTCAACAAAACATATTTAAACCACAGACATCCAGCATGAGGGCAGTTACAGACAGTTCAAGGCCCAGACTGAGCAGAAAAGACACGTTTAAACTGTTGTACTCTATCTGCGGCCTCCTCCATGCACTTAAGATCACATATATATAGTGGACCTATTTGTTTAATTGTATAACCTTTTTGTTCAACCATTCATGAACCAAGTGGAAATGTGGAATAGAAATGATAAAATAATGGCCTACCCCCAAACTCAACTGAGATCTTGAAAAAAAAACAACACAAGGCTTATGGAAAAACATCATTTCAATATGTATTTTCTGACCTATATTGCAACCATAGAAATAATAGATTCCTTGCAAATGCTAAACACGTACTTCAAGTAATCATTAAACTCACACTCAATGAAGTGTTGTGTCATTTATACTATTAGAAAAATATATGTATTTATGGTTAATTGTAGAGAAATGTGTCTTCTGCATTTGGTCCTCCAGTCCCACGAGGGCCTCTGTCAGGAGCTGTGGGGACTGTGTCTTCTGTACGTGGTGTTGATGGTAAGGGGAACACAGGCTGCCACAGACACAGGGAGAACATGCAAAATCTACTCCAAAGGCTCTGACCACTGTTCCCTGAAGGCCTGATCTGCAGCCCATGACTTTTTATGCCATTTTATATTTGACTGTGTTTTTGTTCTGATGTGTCATTGTGTGTTTAACTGTAGCACCTTGAGATGTGCACTGCATACTGGGAAAAAATATATGAAAATAAGTAAGTAAAAAAAAACTGCTTAAAACAAGAAAGAATATCTGCAAATAGAACAAGAAAATATGACTTAAGATTTATGAAAATAATAAAATAATACCAGCTCCATATGACTTGATTCTAGTTTAAAAACATTCATTTCAAGTATGATTTTCTTATTTCTTAAAATGTTTGAGAAATGTTTCCTTAAAATATAGAATAACAAATGTTTTTAAAGTCTGAAAATAAGAAAAAAAGGTAAAACAAGTTCCAAAAACTCACTGCTCTTCTCTAGTAAGATTATGATGTATTATTATGTTAAAACTAGTAAAATAATTTGATGACAAATTACATTCAAGCAAAAATGAGTGAATAAATCAAGATTTTACTTGTTTTCTCTGTATCTATTATTATTATTATTATTATTATCATTACTATTTCTAAGCACTCAGCCACACAAGACTTTTTTCCCGACAACAAGACAGAAAATATTGGAATCATTAATTGCAAAAAATCCATAGAAACATTTCTGAAAAACCATTTGCTTTTCACCAACTCGTGTCGTGACAAGTCTGATGCGAGAGCAGAACCTCTAATGTTTCACTCCTTCTCGAACAAAATCTTTCAAATTTACTGCCAACAACTTTTTGACACATTTTCAAAATAAATAAATGTGTTTTTTGCTAATGAACGCTTCAAGATACACAAGATACAATATATTATTTGCCATTTGCAGAAAAAACAATTTGGAAAAAACTGAGAGAGAGGAGACAGTACACACCAGAGAGAGGAGACAGTACACACCAGAGAGAGGAGACAGTACACACCAGAGAGAGGAGACACACACCAGAGAGAGGAGACAGTACACACCAGGACA